CAGGTTTCTATGCTCTATAAAATGATACAGTGATCACCTTTACTTTTAACTGTTCTATGAAATTATACAGAGTCAAATTAGTACGATAGGTACAGTTCTTATATTATATAGATATTTTTGTAGGATACTCTTACATTCAAAAACGAAATTAGTACTAAAAATCTTTATGATGAAAAATTGCGTTGTGTGACTCCTTAAAAGCCTATTCTGTTGTAAGGTTCATTTTCATCGAAATATTGTAAGAAAGTAACCACTTTAAAGGCGATATCGACCATTGTCATATTAAACTTTAATTCTAATTTCAACTTCGGTCTAAAATAAATATTGTATTCGGAATTAGCAAAGATGAATTTTTATTAGAAATACATCCTGGGGCTACATCAATTTTTTTTTTAGTAAAAAATTATTTTTATTAAAATGTGTATGATATGATTTTGCTAATTCCGAATATGAAATTTATTTTGCTCTAGAGTTGAAATTAGATTAAAATTCAATATGACAATAGTCAATATTGGTTTTAAAATGCTCATAAATGGTCATTTCCTTACAATATTTCGATGAAAATGAACCTTACAATAGAATAGATTTTTAGAGCGTCACACGGCACAACTTTTGATCGTAAAGATTTTTAGTACTTATTTCGTTTTGAAATACAAAAGTATCTGTATAATATGAGAACCGTATCTATCGTATCCATTTAACCCTACAAAACCTAAGAGAGAAGTTAATGATTACTACGTCATTTTATAGAGCATAAAAACCAGCGTCGATCTACGCTATTACTTTACATATTGGATTACAGATATCATAGTTATTAATCGAAACATCCAAAAATAATAGACCACTAAGACTACTTAGTCCTCGAAAATAGTCGATGGCAGATTTACGACCTTATCCAATAGTATCCTTTATTTTGGTTTTTTTATCTTAGTGTTCCACCTATTATGAATGAACGATCAAAATTAACACAACAACAACAACAGCAACAACAACAGCAACAACAACAACAACAACAGCAACAGCAACAACAACAACAAAATCAACAAATGGAACAAGAATCATTACAACAATCATTAATGTCTATGTTTGATGAACCAATCGTTAGTGATGAGGCTATTCGAATTTATGAACGATCGGTAGCTGTAGCTCATCAAGGACCTTTTGAACCGTCAGATGTTGATCGAAAAGTCTATGAAACATATGTAGCTTCATTGGCAATTACTGTTCAATCATAAAAAAAAAAGAAAACTAATTAAATTATTCATATTTTTAAAAAAATTTATTATTAATTTATTTTTTTCTTTTCGTTGTGTAAAATTATTGAATAAATCTTTGTTTTTTAATTTAAGATGAACCATGTGTTCAAGAATAATTCTCCGTCGTATGATTCAATATAATATTCTTTCTCGAAAATATAATTCTACATTATCAAACGATAATTTTGTTCGTATATTTGAAGTTGGTCCTCGTGATGGTTTACAAAATGAAAAAATTCAAGTACCAACATCAATTAAAATTGAATTCATTAATCGTTTAAGTCAAACTGGTCTTAAATATATTGAAGTAACTAGTTTTGTTTCTCCTAAATGGGTACCACAAATGAGTGATCATGTTGAAGTACTTGCTGGTATTGATCGAATACCTGGTATTTGTTATTCAGCTCTAACACCTAATGTTCAAGGTATAAATAAAGTTGTTTCATTGGGAAAAAAAGGTGTTGATGAAGTTGCAATATTTTCGGCTGCATCAGAAACATTTTCAAAGAAAAATATTAATTGTTCAATTGAAACATCACTACAACGTTTTAATGATGTTGTCAAAATTGCACGTGAAAAAGATTTACCTGTACGTGGTTATGTATCTTGTGTAGTTGGTTGTCCTTATGAAGGTAAAATAAAGCCATCACAAGTTGTGCCTATTATAAAAAAATTACTCGATATGGGTTGTGTAAGTTTTCTATTAGAAATTGTTTAAAATGAACTTATTTCATTTTCAATAGTATGAAATATCACTTGGTGATACAATTGGTGTTGGTACACCGAAATCTATTTATGATTTACTTAAAGAAATACAATCAAATGATATTCCATCAAATAAATTAGCTATTCATTGTCATGATACATATGGACAAGCTATTGCTAATATTACACAAGCATTAGATATGGGTATACGTTGTATTGATTCAAGTGTTGCTGGTCTTGGTGGATGTCCATATGCTAAAGGTGCAACAGGAAATGTAGCAACAGAAGATGTTATTTATTTATTAGATGGACTTGGTTATGAAACAGGTGTTGATCTTAATCGTTTGATTGATGCTGGTCAATTTATTACGGAAGCATTGAAACGAGAGAATGGATCAAAAGTTGCACGAGCACTTTTATGTAAACAACAAGGTGAAACCAAAACAACAGTAAAGAGTAATCAAACTTAATGATTGTTCATATTACCCGGCAGAGTTTTTTTTTCATATTTTACAATATACAGTTATGTGTGTGTATATATTTATTATTCATAAATAAAAAGTAAAGATTAGTTTAATGGAGTATAATCATTAACAATATCTATTAATTAGATATAATCAATTCTAATATATTTTCTTTAGGAGAGAAAAAAATTAAAAAGTTTTCAATGGATGTTTTAAATGATAGGAAAATTTTTGTGTATTTAAAAAAAAAAAATGTTCTCATCAGTGAGAAATGACAAGAGAATCACTCCAGGTGTGAAATCACTTTTCGACCGAGACAATATTCATTTGTTGAGTACTAGTGAGTAATAAAGCTGTGATCATATGAAAAATCGATTTTTAAATTGTAACTTTTCCAGTATTTCCTATTCTGATATATTCAATATTCGAAATTTTCTCGTGTGCAAAAGTAAATTTTATTCATCTCCAGAAAGGAAATACTAGAAAGGTTATAACTCGAAAACTGATTTGTCAGGTAATCACAGCTTTTAGTTAAAAACTCAGTAAAATTTCGATATCTTGAGAGTAAAAGCTCGAAAAACTAAACCATTCTAAACTTTTCTATTACTCACTAGTACTCATCAAACGAACATCGTCTCAATTGAAACGCGATTTGACATATGGAGAGATTCTCTCATAAAATCAATGGATAGAAAAAAAAACAATGACAAATTACAAAACGCCTACGGGAAGTTTTTATAAAATAAATCTGTAGATAGTTTGCAAAAATTGTTTAATGAATGATTTCTACAGTTTCAATTGTTGAGTACAATCGATGCAAAGCATCTGTCAGGTATGATTTTGATGGTTGAACTATTCGTTATTTAAGATTAAATATTGACATAAGGTTTTCTTGTTTGTCATTTTTACAATGACAATTGATGTATCAAGGTTCATATAAAGCAGTGTATTACTAATTTCATTCTTTCAAGCAGCAAAAGATTGAGAAAAAAAAAGTGTTTCGCCTAAAGATATTTTTTTGAATATATGGTAAAGAAAAAAATTGAATTAAGTTTGAAAAATGCTTTTAACGTAATTAATTTCTAGGAAACCAATTGTAGTAATCAATATAATCTTAATTATTGAAATTTTCGTATTTGAATAATGATAATTTACCTTATAATTCAAATTGTCACACATATTTATTGATACTCTTGCGTATACAAGTATTCTCTTTCTTTATTATGATGTTGTTGTTGTTTTTTGTTAAAGTGCGCACATGTAGTTTTTTTTTTTTTCTTTTTCTGACATAAGACTGGCTTACTACTAGAAAAGGTAAAGATGAAATATTTTATTATATTGTTGGAAGTGGAACTCAAAGATTTTCTATTTTTTTTCTTCTTATTATTAGAATATACCTGCGGTTTTTTTTTCTCTTGTTCTCTTCGTTACAAATAGACAAATTTTCTAAATAATCTACAGATAAATAATGTTAGAAAGAACAAAATCAGTCATTTTATTTGTAATTCATAGATTTTTTTAGACATTATTCAAATAAATCAATGGATTCTTCATCACATATTCAAATTGTTCTATCAAAAATAAATGAATTTCATCGATTAACAATAAGTGATTCAGATATTAAAATAAAAAATGCTATACAAGAAATCCTTCATCTATGGCCTGAAGTACTTACTGCCGTTGATAAAGCTACTGATGATGAATTATTTACTTTAAATATTAGTCGAGCTGTCTTAACTCAAGTATTTACAATTGTTTTATCAAAAGATTTTTTTAATAAAGATCATTTATTAGTACGTGAAATTTTTTTTACTTGTTTTAATATACTTGTTAATCATGTATATATATTTAAAAATACGAATTCAACACCTAGAAACATATTTATTGATTCTAATGTACGTCTTTTAATGAAAATGTTAACAAGTATAACATCATTAGTAAAATTTCAGAATGAAGATTTTTCTAAAATTAATGATTATCAATTATTTATTGCTATACGTGAACATATTGATCAAGATTTTAAACATGATAATTTAACTGATGGAATTATATCATTTATATGGAATTTATCTGATCGAACAATTTTAGTACCATTATTTATAAATACTGGCTATGTAAATAGTATTATTCAATGGATAAAAACTCGTGAAATTAAATTTCGTGATGATAAATTAAATGCACCAATACATATTTTACATAATTTATCACGACATGATGATGGTATTAATCAATTAAATATATATAATGCACTTAAAATAATTGATGATATTAAAACTGAAACAAATAAATATGATAATCCTGATGATTTAACAATACATATAGCTATGATTCGTGCACTTCTAACTAATATAAATCAAATTAAAAATGATTCAAAAAAATATTCAAATAAAATTCTTAATATGATTATAAAATTATGTATAGATGCTGCAAAAAATGAACGATATCGTTATAATGGTTCTCATATATCTGAACCATTGACAGTACTTGTAAAATTATTTTATAATGATGATATATTACATAATACATTTTATAATAATGAAACAAAATCATCATCATCAAATATTCAATTATTAATAGAACTTTTAATATCATTACTTACTAAATTTTATTCAAAGATAAATCTTGATAATGACATTTTAGAAAATTATACTTGTGTTGTTATATTAAATCTATTTTGGCTTATTTCAAATCATGAAAAATATCGTCAGATTATTCAAAACAATGAACAATTGATGAATATTATAAAACGTGCTGTAAATGATGAAGAAATTTTTATAGATACCTTTATGCCACGAACAATGAAAAGTATAAAACAATCAGCAAATGATATTCTAAAAAATTTTGATAGCTAAAAATTAATATAATCTATTTCTATAACATAATAATAACGAATTTTTATCTTTTAGATATTTTCTATATTGTGCAAATTAAATATGAAGTAAATTCAAAAAATTTTATTAGATAAATTACTAAAGCAACCTATATGAGTTGATTTTATGAATTAAGCGTAACGATGACTCTTTCTTTCTACAGAAATTCTGTTCATTGTAATATTTCTTAGAAAATATATTTTTGTTGATATTCTTCATATTTCATAAAAATAGAAAGATATCTCAATATATAAATATTTATTGTAAATCAGGTGTGTTATTCGGTAATAATGAACATAATAATTATTATCTTTTGAATATTTTTGTTTTCTTTAATATATTTCAAAGTAAAAGCATACATTCTATCCTATAGATGGTCATTCTAATAATCATTTCTCTCAAATTATGGTTAGCTCATTAGTAATAATATTGACCGATTCAACTTGTAAATGATCATTCCAGGTAAATGTTGAACAGAGAAAGCTAGGTTTTCTCGTGTGAATTATCTTTCGTAGACTCGTCGGTTCACATGCATCTAACGAAATACGTTCCGTGACAGCCCGTATTAGATCTAGAACAGCCGAAGATCATGATCTCAGCTCAGATAAGCTAAAGAACTGTTGAAAAAGATCAGTTCAGATCAAACGAACTATTCGAACAGATCAGATCACTTTTACGAACAGTTCATCAGATCCCAACTTTTACCGATCTGTTCAGTCCCTAGTTTGTATAGTTGATACCAATTAATATCGACGAAAAATAAAAACAGATCTACTGATATTCAAAGTTATATGAACAGAATACCTCTAATTGGATTGATCAGATTATTGATTAAAATTAACCACTGATTTATCCAGCTCATTCATATTGAACGCAAAATTTTCATTATCAGATCCTAATTACATTCATATCCAACGTATCTTCCTAAAATCAAGGAATTGGCTTTTAAGGTTTAACTCTTTTTCTAAATTGACGTGTATTATTAGTCCGTTCAGTCAATGTTAATTGGTTTGTGAACTGTTTTTTGGTTTTTTCGTTATCACTCACTTCTGTAGTTGTTGACAAAAGAAACTTCAACATGAACAAATCATAGTTATGAATGAAATCACTTTATGTGAATATATATATCGTCTAATGAAAACATCCTATATTTCAAGAGACATTTTTTGTGCGTGAGAAATATCAAAAAATTGTGGAAGAAGTTAAGGAAAAGTAAGGAAAGAACATATGGTGCATATATAGATTTTGTTTTAGTTTAAATAAAGATGTAATGATTCGACATTGATCAAGAAAATGATGCACGTCTACTAGTTGGAAATCGTAATTTTCACAGTAATGAATATAAGTATTTGTAAGGTACAAATGGAAAAGCAAAGTCAACGATGATCATTTACTCATTCAGTAAGTATCAAGATTAGTTACTTTTATTTAGAATCAAGAGTTCCATTATGAAAAGAGTTCTTTCGCATGTTACTGTTTGAACAAATTTAAAATAGAGAACTTGGACTTCTTTTTTTTCTGATTATCGGAAGTTTTAGTGATCACTGAACTATTCGAAGTTATAGTTAGGTTTGATGAAGCTGTTGATTGCCGTGGTTTTACGACAAATGTTTGCCAGTAAGAATCTTCGAATGCAGTTTGGTCGATCCAAACTGTCATGGCATAATCCTTAACCTGGAACAAGAATTCAGTTTGTTGTCGTAAGTTATATTCCCACCTTCTCCTATCATAACTATCATACAGACTAGGACGATTTTTTGCAATATCGAAAGTAAGACTGCGAATATATACTAAATATTTGTTCAATAGTGGAACGTTATATAAGCCGAATGTATTCATTTTTAGATGTTCCACGTAAGGAAAGCACTTGGCAACAACCATAATATCTTCTTCGTTGAATGCATGCTCAGGAAGAGAGATGTCAAGATGTTTTACACAATTATTTTTTCTTACGAAAGCATCTACATTTGTGATAAGCATATCGAAGCTAATATTAAGCAAACTTATATTTGTGAGACATGCCAGGAGTGCAATTAATGCGTCGTTGTTTTTTTGCGAGTGTGTAATGACAAGTCGAGTAATTTGGGAACAATTTATATGGGTTTTCACCCATTTAAATACAGAAGTATCCATATTATCCACTATAAGGCACTTCACATTGTTGAAGTAATAATTCCACGATGCAATATTCTTCGTGTCGTCAAGTATCAAGCTTATGTTATCATTTATTATCATAAGATGATTATTAATACTACGATTGGGTGCCATCCAACATTGAATAACAGGCAGATCAAATTCATATCGAATATTTTGCTTTATTGTACTTCTGACAAAATTATTGAAATACGAGATTTCATGTTCAGTTATCATTAGATTGAAATTTTTTTTTGCTAACCAATATGAGCTTTGAAATGAAGCGAGCACGTTGTGGACGCCAGCTTCTTGTACACGAGATGTAGTCGTTCGAAGAGTAAAATGAGTTAGTAATGGTAACGATGTTTCCAATAACATCTTCCATACATTTCCATCAAGAATTTCATTGTGAGCTTTAATTTCAAGACGTTTTAAAACGGGCATTGCATTAAAATACTTTGCTAACATATCGATCGTTATTGAACTGTCTTGTTCAAAATACAAGACAAGTGTATGAAGTGTACGCATTGGTAAAATATTCTTTTTTGCACGTTCTTTTTTTTCATTATAATGAAAATATATTTTATCGATTAATTCAACATCCAGATACTTAAGACTAGGAGCGCATTTGAAAATATATTGTAAATCTTCAAATTCAAAATTTATACCAGAAATAGTTAAATGTTCAATATTTGACGAGACCTTCTTTAAATCAGCCCAGTTTATAGAACGCATTTTACTCCTAAGAGAAAATCGTTTAAGTGATTTCAAGCCAAAAAGATTGATAATAACATTTTCCAGTAAAGCTTTATCGTCTGTCTCCATTGCGTTGATTGATAAACTATCAATACGTATTTTTGATAATGAATTAAGAGCTCTTTCAACAATGTTCCAATTGATACCTTCACCATTAAAATGAAAATAAAGTGTTCGAAGTTGTTTAAATAATTCAAATGATGGAAAAAAAGATAAAAAAGCATAAACTTGACCAGGTGTGTCTTGTTCCGATATGGCTAATTCTTGTATTTTATCGATATAGGCTGGTAAAAGACCCATGCAAAAACGAAAGTCATCTTTGTGACATTGAATAAAATCAAAACGAAGCCGTTGACATTGAGTAATGAGTGCATTAAAACGTTGATTGAGTTGAAAGCTAAAAGCTCTTAGTACATCTATTCCATTAATGTATTTCTCGATGATATCAATTAATATTTCGTTTGGAAGTGATTCAAGTTTTGAGAGTGACATCTGTCTGAACAAAATAATAGTAAAAATTGACGATCAATGATAAAATACTGTTGAAACAGAGTCGTGTTGATGTAGTTTTTCCTGGCAATAAGGAAAAAATAATCTGAAAAGAAAAATATGTTTCTCATAGTAATGTCGAAGTCTCAACTCTCGGTTTGTTCTCTTTCTTCTTTCAATACAGTGCACTTTAGTTTGCTTTTCTTCCTACAGCAACAAAAAGTTACAAGTACTTGTGAGAGGTGAAGAATATTTTTGAATTAGTCATCGTAATGGTAGCCAATAGATGGATTTGTTTGTCATAGAAACATCGAAAGAATCAATGAGTGACAGTAAGAAAAAAAAGAACTTTCAATATCATTATAATTGGGGTGTAACGTTTCTCAGTAAACTCATGGATAGTTTGACAACATTATTTTCTCTAAAATGAGACTATTTCAATGAATAAATTCATAAGAAAACTGCAAATGATGTTTGTATTACAAAGAATTCGATTAAGCAATCAATTGACTAATAAATTAATTATACATTTATATCTTTCAAGTTATATTCATTCAAAACAGAACATGTTAATACGTTTTTGTAGTTTCAAATCGCTCTCGAAAAAAAAAAGATTATAGGTAAGATCGTGTTAATATAGAAACTCGTACTGAAGTTTAAATGAAAATGGTTATACAGTTTCATGAATATCGTTCTTCGTCTTTTTTCAACACAACAATTACAGTGAAATCTCTACGATTGAACACATTACTAAAGTGAACATCCTCGAATTATGAACGGTCGTAGGTCCAACGAAGAAGTTTTTGCTGAAATTGCCCCTCTCTAATGTGAATACTTATGTATTCTGAACAGTGAACATCTTTTTACGATTTCTCTTGCTATTATAATCTTTTTAAAGTCAAAACATGTGCAATAGCATTTTGACTTCATTTCTACTGTTTGTTACGTGTTTCTTATGCACTATGAGTATGTACATTTTGTGTATCAGAGTTATTGATATGGATATAGATACACCTTCCTTCAATGAATCGTTCAATAAATGTAAGCGTCTTATAACATGAAAGATTAATGAATGAGATGAAGAGAATGATGATAATGATCGTATGTCAACTGAATCACCACGAAAAATGACGAAAGTAATGGACTCTTACTATAGGCCCATTCATTGACAACATTACAACAATCAAAATAACATCGTTTAATTAATGAATCAGAATCTCAATTAGCCTACGTGTATATCAATTCAAAAGCTGAAAAACAAATAACATCAGAGGACTTAACAAAAGAAAAAGCTAAATATTGTATTGTTAATGAAGGTTAATGAGTTCGTCCTTTAGATCTCTGTGCTATACATGATCATCTCATAATCTTTTCTCTAAAATTATAGTAAGACCATCATTAATAATATTCACTAATTCCATGTGCTGAGTGTAATTTAGGGCAAATGTTGAACAAATGAAGTTTGTCTTTCTCTTATAAGTTATTTTTAGTCCGTTTCTCCGTTCGCATACACATAACAAAACATGTTTCATGGCAATTTATATAGTTGCGACGCACGCTGATGATTATTTCAAGATTTAGGATCTCTTTTTAAATGGATGAGC